TCAAACCACTTCTGGGAGAATTTGAATAAATTAAACAAACCACATCATGAGGAATTGGATATCCAAAATGGTGATATGTGGAGAAATCACTTTGCAAACCTCTACAGCAATATAACAAAGAGTACAGAACAAAAAGATATACAAGACTAATTATAAATCCTTGAATCAGCGGTCAAAGACTACCACAATCCTGTGGATACCCCAATTTCAGAACAATAATTTTTGGAAAAACGATGCACTCTACAACCCAAAAAGGCTTGTGGTGCTGATGGTATTTTAAATTAAATGATCAAATATACAGACCACAAATTCAAATTGGCTATACTCAAACTCTTCAACATTATCCTCGCTGCAGGTATTTTCCCCAATATTTTGAACCAAGGATTGATCACACCAATCTATAAAAATGGATACAAATCTGACCCAAATGAGGAATTTGCATTAACAGCAACCTGGGGTAAATTCTCTGCAGTATCATAAATAGCAGACTACATTTCCTTAATGAACACAACGTCCTGAGAAGAAGCCAGATTGGATTTTACCGAATTACCACAACAGGCCACATCTATACCTTCCACACTCTAACTGACAAACAAGTCAACCAAAACAAAGGCAAAATCTACTCATGTTTTGTAGACTTCAAGAAAGCATTTGATTCAATTTGGCACAAAGGTCTTTTTTATAAACTAATAGAAAGTGGTATTGGAGGAAAAACATATTATGTTATTAAATCAATGTACACTAAAAACAAATGTGTGGTTAAAATTGGCAACAAGCAAACAGACTTCTTCTCTCAGGGATGTGGAGTGAAACAGGGCTGCTCAATTATTAACATCTACATTAATGAATTTGCTAAAACATTAGAAGAATCTGCAGCACCTGGTCAGCAGCAACTAGATCATCTGCACAGCTTCTGTCAAACGAATATAATGATATTCCAAAAGAGGTCCGGAAATCTGGATCACAAATATAACCTCTATTTGGACACAGTTCTATTAGAACACACCAAAAACTACATGTATCTAGGACTAAATATCAGCAACACAGGTAGCTGTCGCATGGCTGTGAACGAGCTGAGAGACAAAGCAAGAAGAGCATTCTATGCCATTAAAAGGAACATTAAAATCGAAATTCCAATTAGAATCTGGCTCAAAATGTTCCATTCAGTTATAGAACCAATTGCTCTATATGGCAGTGAAGTATGTGGTCGACTCTCTAATAATGAATTTACCAAATGGGACAAGCATCCAATCGAAATACTGCATGCAGAGTTTTGCAAGAGTGTATTGCAAGTGCAAAGAAAAACTAAAAACAACACATGTAGAGCAGAATTGGGCCAATACCCCCTCCTTATTCGAATTGAAAACAACCATCTAAAAACAAGCAACCCCGAAACATTTAATCACACAGCCCTACAATGTCAAGAGATGAAACAAGAGAAGAGTCCAACCCCATAGAGCCCAGGACAGCACTCAGAAAACATGGCCCAACCAAATTATCAAAAAGGAAATATCACCTATTGGAAAGACACCCCAAGAAATCTAAGTAAACCTCAATGCTATTTGGCTCTAAACAGACAGTACATTGTGGCAGACTATCTGACCACTGTGACTGATAGAAACTGAGGTAGGTACAGACTCAGTGAGCACAGCCTGGCCATAGAGACCGGTCGTCACAGGCAAACCTGGCTGACCAGAAAGGACAGGCTGTGCTCACTCTGCCCCAGGTGAGACGTAGAGACATAGCTGCATTTCATATTACACTGGGACAAATACTCAGACCTAAGATAATCTTTCTTTCCCATCATTATTATTCAGTACAAAGAATTTTTAACTATAAAAGAGGAAGAAGAAATTGAATATTTATTTGGTGAAAAGCCTAAATGTGCCTCTTGCCACAATTTGAGGGACGGCCAGTGAAAAGCGTAATGAAATGTCAATAATATTTGCCATTTTGTTTTGGCTTTCATACCATGCCATATGGCTTTTTAGTCATGTTGAGACTGGCCTACTACTATTGCTTTATTATTATTATTAATATAGTTGTTGTAGTTGCTGTTAATGGTAATACCATTTCCACTACTACTACTACTACTATTATTATTGATGCCTTATTGCTGTTGGTCGTTGTTGTTATACACTACATTACCAAAAGTATGTGGACACCTGCTCGTCAAACATCTCATTCCACTCTTCTGGGAAGGCTTTCCACTAGATGTTGGAAGATTGCTGCAGGGACTTGCTTCCATTCAGCCACAAGAGCATTAGTGAGGTCGGGCACTGATGTTGGGCAATTAGGCCTGGCTCGCAGTCGGCGTTCCAATTCATCCCAAAGATGTTCGATGTGGTTGAGGTCAGGGCTCTGTGCAGGCCAGTCAAGTTATTCCACACCGATCTCGACAAACCATTTCTGTATGGACCTCGCTTTGTGCACGGGGGCATTGTCATGCTGAAACAGGAAAGGGCCTTCCCCAAACTGTTGCCACAAAGTTGGAACAACAGTATCATCTAGAATGTAATTGTATGCTGTAGCGTTAAGATTACCCTTCACTGAAACTAAGGGGCCTAGCCCGAACCATGAAAAACAGCCCCAGACCATTATTCCTCCTCCACCAGACATTACAGTTGGCACTATGCAATCGGGCAGGTAGCGTTCTCCTGGAATCCGCCAAACCCAGATTCATCCGCCGGACTGCCAGATGGTGAAGCGTGATTCATTACTCCAGAGAAAGCGTTTCCACTGCTCCAGAGTCCAATGGCGGCAAGTTCTCCACCACTCCAGCCGACGCTTGGCATTGCGCATGGTGATCTTAGGCTTGTGTGCGGCTGCTCAGCCATGGAAACCCATTTCATGAAGCTCCTGATGAACCGTTCTTGTGCTGATGTTGCTTCCAGAGGCAGTTTGGAACTTGGTAGTGAGTGTTGCAACCGAGGACAGACGATTTTTACGTGCTACACGCTTCAGCACTTGGCGGAGCAGTTGTTGCTCCTAGACGTTTCTACTTCAAAAATAACAGCACTTATAGTTGACCGGGGCAGCTCTAGCAGGGTAGAAATTTGACGAACTGACTTGTTGGAAAGGTGGCATCCTATGACAGTGCCATGTTGAAAGTCACTGAGCTCGTCAGTGAGGCCATTCTACTGCCAATGTTTGTCTATGGAGATTGCATGGCTGTGTGCTCAATTTTATACACCTGAGCAACGGGTGTGGTTGAAATAGCCGAATCCACTAATTTGAAGGAGTGTCCACATACTTTTGTATATATAGTGAATTTTGTACTTTGACAATGTAAGTAATTTATGTCAACAAAGTCTACTGAATTAAGAGAGACAGAGAGGAGAAAGCGATGCCTCATGGTGTGATTGACAGCTGGGTCCTATTTTCTCTCCCTCAGCTGGAATATAATGATGCTCTCAGGCTGTGACTCCGGGGGACGCTGTCAGCTCACCCACAGAGAGGTGGTGCTACATGAAGGACTCCTGAGGAGCATCTTCAGGCACAGGGTCCACTATAAAGGATTGCAGTAAGTCCACTCTACAGGGTTGCAGTAAGAGAGGAGGATGGCTGTTACCATGGTGCTGCATGGGGAGAAAATTGAGCTAGAGGAGCTGTGCTGGAGTGGAATGGTGGTAAAATTGAAGAAAAATATCTGATAAAAGGGATAGTCATGTTACATAATAGTTAATCACCTGATAACTGACAATTGCTGACTCTTATACCAGCAAAATAAAGAAGCTACTCACTAAGTTAATCATTTATTTAAGTTACAAACCATGGGAATTGAGGGGTACAACTAAACACGTACAAATAATGATGAAATAGTCAAAGTAGAAATGGAAAATGAGACGATTTTCTGAAAATAATACTTAGACAGGAACTCAATGGGTGACAATGAAAACAGTCCTGTAAATAATTAATGTTAAATTGATTGTTCAAGGAAGCTGTCCCGTAAAAAATTGTGAAGATATCAAAGTAATCAAGATCAGATGCAACTGTGAAAGTCAGGGAACATTAGACTAGTCAATTTCAGTCTTACATTCCTCCTTTTTAAACCAAGAATAACTCAATGCAAAGACAATGTTCCCTGCAAATAATTTATTCAGGTATACAAATACAGAACATCTCTTGGTCATTTCTCAGAAAATAGGTACATCTTGGCTGCCTAGCAAATCCACTTGATTTCATGTGTTGGATGTGTGCTGGTTGCAACATGTATCATGATTTAATACAAAATGAAAGTATTTTGGAGACAGAATTTGTTTTATCAAATACATGTTCACTGACAAAGGAGAAATATACTGTAACATGAGTGAAATGTCTCGAAGTCATTAGTCAATCCTCCGTTGCGTTTTCAAACTCAACATTCTTGACGCTAAGCCATACCACTGAAAACTTTATTGTAGAATGAAAACAAGTCCAGTTAAAATATGTTGCCATTGCTTGACTCGTCAAACACAGTCTAAACATACGGATAAACCAAAGACTATTGAAGAGGATGACAGATGGATACATTGGGCTCAAAAGCATTCATACAATGAGTCATTTTGCAATTTATTTTCATTTTGACTTGTGCTTTGGCCTTTAAATATGCAACTTAGCTTCTTGCTGGATGTACCTCTAATGAGTTCATTAAAAAGAACACATTTCAATTAAATGTCTAATCATGTTAAGAGATGTTCTATTAGTCATTAACTTTATTCAAATAGAGGCTTTCAAAAGATCTTCCACTTTTGTGCAGAAAGGCCCTTCTCAATCTCATTCTGAATTACATACATCCACAATCCTAGTGTATGATGTGCTCAAAGTCTTTTCCAAAGTATTCTTGCTCATTAAAATCAAAAGGACTTTGTTTTGTTCTTTCTCCCAATCTGGTCAGAACCTCAGATCTAGAATGACAAAGTTTCCATTCAACCAAGCAACTATATGCTCCAATCCCCGGACTGGCCATGAAAGAAATGGAGCCGTAGTTTCCAGAGGCTTTGATGAGACCTGAAGGACCCTTAAACAAGCTCAAGTACCTATAGAGAGAGAAAAATACAGGTGAGCAGAAAGAATAAACCATGTAGCCTCCATTTTTCCTAGGCTGACAAACCTCTGATACACTTCACGCAGCCCAAAAAAAGAATCCAATGACAAACTTAATGACGTCCAATGATTTTTTGAATGTGCCTGTTAAAAAGTGATAACCCAAGTATACACACTAAAAGGGTAAAAATAATGTTTTGAGCAAAATAGTGTTTTTTAAACAAACTTCAAGGAATAGGGCATTCATGAGTTGGTTTGATGGGAAGTTGTGATGTCATCAGCCTTCCCCCTTGCTAGAGGAGCAATAGAGAACAAAAGAGGAAAAATATTTCGTTCTTCTGTATTAGGCCATGTCATCTCTAAACCACCCCTCCACCCCAGAGATATTTTTATTATTATCTCAAAAACGACCTCTCCAGAATCCATATGACGGAAATCCGTCACAGTGACGGAGAACTTTAATCCGAGTTCCCAAACCAGAGAAAGACTGTGTGAATGCTAAATACATAAGCAGAGTCAAGGGCACGGTTTCCCAAAAGCATCTTAAGCCTAAATTCATCGTTAGAACATTAGTAGGAGCATCGTTAAACCTCCGAGCTGTTTCAAAATCAAATCCAATTGTATTTGTCACATGCGCCGAATAAAACAGGTGTAGACCTTACAGTGAAATGCTTACTTACAAGCCCTTAACCAACAATGCAGTTAGAAAAATAAGTGTTAAGTAAAAAATAAAAATAAAATAATTAAAGAGCAGCAGCAAAATAACAGTAGCGAGGCTATACACAGGTGGTATCGGTACAGAGTCAATGTCCGGGGGCACAGATTAGTCGCGGTAATATGTACATGTGGGTAGAGGTAAAGTGACTATGCATAGATTAACAGAGAGTAGCAGCAGCGTAAAAAGTGTGTGTGTGTGTGTGGGGGGGGGTGGGGGTGGGGGGGTAAAAGCTGTTAAGAAGCCTTTTGGACCTAGACTTGGCGCTCCGGTACTGCTTGCCGTGCAATAGCAGAGAGAACAGTCTATGACTAGGGTGGCTGGAGTCTTTGACAATTTTTAGGGCCTTCCTCTGACACCGCCTGGTATAGAGGTCCTGGATGGCATGAAGCTTGGCCCCAGTGATGTACTGGGCCATACGCACTACCCTCTGTAGTGCCTTGCGGTCAGAGGCCGAGCAGTTTCCATACCAGGCGGTGATGCAACCAGTCAGGATGCTCTCGATGGTGCAGTTGTATAACTTTGAGGATCTGAGGACCCATGCCAAATCTTTAGTCGTGCCCGGTCGTGTGTTTGGACCATGATAGTTTGTTGGTGATGTGCTCGGTCCTCCTTTTCCTGTAGTCCACAATCATCTCCTTTGTCTTGATCAAGTTAAGGGAGAGGTTGTTATCCTGGCACCACACGGCCAGGTCTCTGACCTCCTCCCTATAGGCTGTCTCATCGTTGTCGGTGATCAGGCCTACCACCGTTGTGTCGTCGGCAAACTTAATGATGGTACTGGAGTCGTGCTTGGCCATGCAGTCATGGGTGAACAGGGAGTACAGGAGTGGACTGAGCACGCACCCCTGAGGGGCCCCCGTGTTGAGGATCAGCGTGGCAGATGTGTTGTTACCTACCCTTACCACCTGGGGGCGGCCCATCAGGAAGTCCAGGATCCAGTTGCAGGGGGAGGTGTTTAGTCCAGGGTCCTTAGCTTAGTGATGAGCTTTGAAGTCATTATGGTGTTGAATGCTGAGCTGTAGTCAATGAATAGCTTTCTCACCTAGGTGTTCCTTTTGTCCAGGTGGGAAAAGGGAAGTGTGGAGTGCAATAGAGATTGCATCATCTGTGGACCTGTTGGGGCGGTATGCAAATTGAGTGGGTCTAGGGTTTCTGGGATAATGGTGTTGATGTGAGCCATGACCAGCCTTTCAAAGCACTTCATGGCTACAGACATGAGTGCTACGGGTCGGTAGTCATTTAGGCAGGTTACCTTCATGTTCTTGGGCACAGGGACTATTGTGGTCTGCTTGAAACATGTTGGTATTACAGACTCAGTCAGGGACAGGTTGAAAATGTCAGTGAAGACACTTGCCAGTTGGTCAGCGCATGCTCGGAGTACACGTCCAGGTAATCCGCCTTGTGAATGTTGACCTGTTTAAAGGTCTTGCTCACATTGGCTATGGAGAGCATGATCACACAGTCATCTGGAACAGCTGATGCACTCATGCATGCTTCAGTGTTCCTTGCCTCGAAGGGAGCATAGAAGTGATTTAGCTTGTCTGGTAGGCTCGTGTCACTGGGCAACTCGCGCCTGTGCTTCCCTTTGTAGTCTGTAATAGTTTGCAAGCCCTGCCACATCCGACGAGCGTCGGAGCCGGTGTAGTACGATTCAATCTTAGTCCTGTATTGACGCTTTGCCCTATCCCAAAACCATCGTTTTTAACATTGCACTTGAAAACACTCGTAATCTAACACCTGCCTCAGACCACTCGCAGAACAGCTTAGTGCGTTGTTCGATACTTTTTCCCCCCTCCCAAGTCACTTTATACACAGAAGATCTCTGCTAAACATAGAATCACATGGTTTATCCATCTCTCTGTAACTGCCAATAACTTCAGAACAAAGTTAACAAATACAACGTTGCCAATGTCTTTGCAATTGATACAAACAAGCAATGTATAAAATGATAATTCAAATGAAAACTGAGATGATACATTAACATATAAACAGTAGGCTATAGGCCCATTTCAATCATACTGAAATACATTTCATGTTCAATCAATTGTTTTATTTTGCTACTTGTAGGCTACTGTCTGCAATTTGTCTCAACATATGTCATGCCGTGTAGCCTAAAGTGCGCAATGACGTGCCAAATCTGTGATTTAGTGCATTATAATAGGGTAAGCATTAGAATATGCCGCCTCACTATTTGCAGCTGTACGTGGTAATCTTTCTCTAGGAGCTGATCCGTCAACAGTATTGTGAAATAATAAGGTAAGATAAGGTACGATTTTAAATGGAGAAAACTGATCCGAGAGCAGCACTCCCTTTCTTTCGATCCCATCAGTATCGACTCATGCTCCAACGACGCACTTAGTGACCGTTCTCTCTGCGTGGTGTTTTGGGAAACGCATGTTACATCTTCGGCTGTTGTAGGAAAGATGCGTCGTTAAAACCCTCGTAAGCTTAAGTTCCATCGCTATCGGGAAACCGGGCAGAGTAAAATACAATACAAAACAAACCTTGATTGTTCCTTGACTGTTTGCAGCAATCAGCACATTGGACTCCTACAAGAGGACACAAACACAAACCATGAAACTGTTAAATTAGTACTCATGGTTGATTGACACAAACATTATTTTAAAAAATTATGCTTTTACTAAATGACAATACTGTGGCCTCAAAGAAGAGCCTGTCTATAAATGTATCCATAACATTCAAACAATATCATCAGGTTATTAACTTCACATTTGGTGGAAAAACTGTAGAAAACTGAGCTATGCTGGTAAGGGAAATTCAATGCAAAGAGAAAGGAACGATGTTGCTACCTCGCTCTCCAACCAAGGCCCATTAATTAAGGAAGAAACTGAAGTGAAGAGGAAATTGCAACTTTTGGAGAGGTCGTTATTAAAATGCTTCATTATTGTTAAAACCAATGCGTTTTGACCCATAGCCTTCATCAGGGTTTTTCAAAGGTGGTTAATTTAAGCAGTGACATACCTTGGTGTATGACTGTGTTGCCAGGTATTTCAACCCTGTGTTTTTCTATTTACCAACCATGGACATTGTAGGTGGGTTGATGCGTTTGGGATTGTGACCATTATCTTAGACCAAACTGTTTGTGTTTTGAGCCATTCTTGTGTGGCAGTTACTTTCCCTTGTGTCAGAGAGTAATAACATGCTCCACTGGACAGTGGTGTCCTTCTTCCTGGAGGAACGCCCTAGTTTCTTATAGACCCTATACTGGGAGCATTATTAAGGTCACAAGACAGACATTTGTTGTCAGAAAATATTTAGTTTGCAGCCGTTTCAAGAGGCTTAACCGTAACGCAGACATATAAAAGAGGATATCAGACATGAATCTCCACTGATCTGACTGACACACAGTTCTCTTGCTCACCCCGTCAGGCATAGCTCTCCAGCATACGGCGCTGACAAACTCGTTGGTGTCGTCCTCTTTCTTGTCTTTATCCAGCACGCTCTTCACAGTGTCAAACTTGAATGTCAGCAGTGTCTTGGACAGCCCCTTGTAGTAGAGATAAAGTGAGTTGTTCTCACTTCCTGTAGCGAGAAGAATGACATCATTGTCAGTGATTGAACTCCAAAATCTGCCGGTTCATCAGATCTTTTAGTACCCATCATATTAAAGTACTCACTATATCAAAGTACTCACTACATTTGAAAGCACCCTAAATGCATTCTTAAACAACTGAAAACACATCCACGATTGGTAATTGAATAGACTGTCCCCAAACGTCATGAATTCTAAAGCCATATATGAATGTCAATCTGATTGTGTCAATCTGAGTAAAAGCATTTTCACATCCACTGAAGGACTTTTCCAGTTCCACACAGCATGCAGCTGTCAATGCGGTCCCACTTACCACACGCAACATAGTCTCCATTGGAGGCAAGGCCAACAAAGTTCTTCTCATTGATGTGGCCCTTGAACGAGCGCAAGCAGTGGGGCTTGTTTACATTCCACAGCTTTAGCTGGCTGTCTGTTGAGCTGTGTGGTACAGAAGAGGAACTATGTCAGCAGAACATGTACTTCAACTACGAAATATGGTATTTTTCATTTCAGATCAGGGACTTAACAGGAAAATGCTGTGATATTTTGGGGAACATTTACCATACGGTCAAATTGTCAAACTGTGACATTCCTGAACATAATTTGATTGAAGAGACTTACGCAGATACAATTTCCTCTCCGTTGACAAACTTAGCGTAGGACACAGCTTTCCTGTGGCCTTTGAACACCATGATGGGCTGTTTAGTGTTGCGGAGGTCGTAGTAGTGGACACAGTGGTCTGGGAGAAAACACAGAAAATGACTGTTTTAAAAACTTGTGCAATGCATGTTAACTCATCCTTCACACAAAAAAAATTTATGAAGTGCAATGCATGTTTCAACTCATCCTTCACACAAATCAATACATTGGAAGAGGTTTGGAAGAAGAAGTAGCATCACAGATCAACCTACCTGCACATCCAAAAGCAAGGTGATACCTCGACGTCGGACTGAACTTTACACAGCACACATTTGCTTTGGCCTCGATGCTGGCGACTGAATTGTCAAGGTTGGTAGACCATAACTTCACTGAAAGACAAACAAAAACCAGATACAATCCTAGATTAATAACAAAACACCAAAGATGTTGAGACTAGCAATACGTTCCCTTTAAACCCAGCAGGCATCTTGTTTATTAGGACCTTGGGAGAAATGCAAACAAACGACTGCATCGTTTCAACATTACCTTTTGCATCATCAGAACCAGAGGCTAGAAGCTTGGGATCCATGAGGTTGAAATCAACACTCCAACACCTTTTCTCATGCTCCTGGAGGAACATCACAGGTGTGAAACAAACATAACTGACTTTTATAACGGAATAGATTTCCATCTACAGACAGTGTAAATATCTAACTAGCCCAGGAATACTGGGGTACATATTTTAGCAAAGGTTTACTTTGAGGATAGAGTGCATTAAATATGTATTTCATACAGTACATCTGCAACAGTGTCTGTTTCCATTTAGTAATGGATTGAGTGTAGTGTCCAAAGAAAATCAAACAAAAGTAAAAGCTTCTGGGTATAGTAGGTGGCATTAGTCGCAACAATCTCCACAGCTGTGGTTTGTTTGTTCCATTGTATTAGAGCAGTGGTATTTGAAAGGGGGGAACCTCGGGGGAATGAGCGCGCCAGGTGCATACCTGATAGACTTTTGACCTTTGGCCAGTGAAACCATCCCACAGGATGACTGTTCCCTCGTAGTCGCTGCTAGCCAACAGATTCTTGTGGTAGCTGCTCCAGCTGATACAGCTGAAATACAAAACACATGGGGATGTAAGAGCCGAGACCTGTTCCATGTTTCTATGAGGATTAATGAATATGCTTGATAAAGAAAACAGATACATAAATCTATGCCAGCATTTAAAATAATATCCAGAATAGGGCACCCACTGTAAGGTAATAAACATTGTTTAAAAGTGTGTAGTTTCTATTGTAATACAGATGGTAATTCTCAATGTTAAGACAGGTTGAAAGGTCACCTGATTTTGGAGTTGCACGTCATTTCATTGACAGGGTAATGTATGTCCACAGCATCCTGGATCACCGTTCCATACTCAAACACCTTGATTTTCTTGGTGACGCCAGCGATGGCAAAGTAATCACAGTCACGGTCAAATTCAATGCTGCAGAGACGAGAGCGATAGAGAGCAAAACATCAAGCTCAATCAAACGAGTAACACAATGGTGAGTTTAGTTGCGTGCAATGAAGCATTATTTCATCATAAGAAAAAGCATGGTAGCATCTTAAAAGGCCCCCTATTCCCTATATAGTGCACTACTTTTGACCAGTACTATATAGGGAATGAGGCGCCAACTGTGAACCACACTATGTCTCCCATCAGATTACATTAGTACTTTTCCATAGAGATAGATAAGAGATAGAGCTAGCAACAGACATAGTGGTGCCTTCAGCTACACTCTGGCGGCAAATGGAAGATGTATTGTGATACAAGAGCGCCATCTGCAGGTCAAAGTGGATACTAAACATTAGGATTGTGCTAAATCTAACAAAAATATAAACGCAACATGCAACAATTTCAAAGGTTTTACTGAGTTACAGTTCATAGAAAGAAATCAGTCAATTGAAAGAAATCCATTAGGTCCCAATCTATGGATTTCACATGACTGGGCAGGTGCGCAGCCATGGGTGGGCATAGGCTCACCCACTTGGGAGCCAGGCCCACCCAATCAGAATGAGTTTTTCCCCAAAACAGGGCTTTATTACAGACAGAAATACTTCTCAGCACTCCCCCTCCTCAGACAATCCCGCAGGTGAAGAAGCCGGATGTGGAGGTCCTGGGCTGGCGTGTTTACCCATGGCCTGCGGTTGTGAAGCCGGTTGGATATACTGCCAAATTCTCTAAAACAACGTTGGAGACGGCTTATGGTAGAGAAATGAACATTCAAATCTCTGGCAATCGCTCTGGTGGACATTCCTGCAGTCAGCATGCCAATTGCACGCTCCCTCAAAACTTGATGGATTATCTTGGTAAAGGAGAAATGCTCACTAACAGAGATGTAAACAAATTTGTTTATAAAATGAGATAAATAAGCTTTTTGTGCTTATGGTAAATGTCTGGGATAATTTTTTTCAGTTCATGAAACATGGGACCAACACTTTACATGTTGCATTTATATTTTTGTTCAGTATAATTAGCTAAGCCATCAAAGGTTTTGGGTTTGACAGTTGAGGGTTGACATTACCTAGAGACAATACTGGAGCCGTTGTAGAGATCACTAGCATAAGACAGGGTCGCCAACGGCCGCACAGAGTTGTACCGTGTGAACTTTGAGAGACACTCCATGAAATCATCCAGTTGATTTAGGTTCCTGCTGTCATCTAAAACAAGACATGACAAACAATAAATATCTAATCCTGAACACCATTAGAAAGTAAATAATGTTTTTGTTGTTTATTATCTGATTCGTCCTTATGTCTTGTGAGCGCCATGCAAGTCAGCCAGAGGGCAGGAGCCTCAAGCCTAAAATAGATTCTGCAAGATAATGCAGCTCAGTCAGCTAAAAGTTAAACCTAGAGGGTTGTTGTTGCGGTCATTTGTGGGAGATACAATCACCCTTCCTCTTTTGGAATACAAGGACATTACTTTACCCAGAGAAGCCTTTTAAGTAAAATTCGACGGAAACCTAGAAGGTACCTGTTAATCGGGTCATCCGGTTAGAGAAGTAGCATTGCTCCAGATCTTCAAAGTGCGCTGTGAGCCTCTTTCTCCGCGAAGCCAGAGTGCTGTTGTACCACGTTTGCCTCTTCCCCTTTGGTAAAATAGAACATTTTAAATCACAGACAGACACTAAACACATGCATTTGCAGAACGTGAACCTGAACCCCCAACATCAATGGTTCACTATGGCTGCGTCTCGATTCTCCACCCTTCCCCCAAAGTGTAAACTTGCACACTTTCTTGCATGGATTTAACAACACTCCAGCCAATTCTTACACCAATCCTATGCTTTTAAATCCATGACTAGAAGTTTCTGGAGAAGACTGGAGAATAGGGATGCAGCCTCAGAAAACTAAAGTGGGTCAGACTTACCTGGGAAGTTCCACCAAAACCTGGTGGTTGACTCACGTACTCTGTCGAATCTATAAGACTACTGTAAAGGCAAGAATTAGTTTGTTACCGTAAGTATATATCAGTGTGTCTCCTGTAAAAGCTCAACTTTTAAAGGATATTCATACAGAGATCCCAAATGTATATTCTGAGTCAGATAATTACTTTGGTCCTTTTGCAAGACAACCTAAAGTACCGGACAGAATTTTGTTTTACCTGGGTGCAGGTGAGGGAGCCTCGAAATTTGGCACAGTGCTGTCCAAGTTACGATCCATGTCACTCGTTGGTGAGTACAGTCCACTCATTTCCTAGAAAATGCACAATGTACTTAGTTTTAAAAACTCCTCAAAAGACAGCCTTTACCTGCATGAAAACCAAAGAACACAGAGGAGGACTAAGTTTATCACATTCTGGGGCGGTTTTTCTGGGACACATATTTTTTTGTCCAGGACTAGGCATAATCTGTGTCAGGGAAACCAGATCTCTGACTTCTAATCCATTTCAGGAGTACAGAAATGTTAGGAGAGCTAGCCATGTACATTATTTTACCTCAACACGCTTGATATCCTCCTCCAAAAAGTTTAGCTCCTTCTGCAACTGCTCCAGTTGCTGAATGATTAAACACACAATAACTAATGGTTATTTCCTCACATAGATTAGTACTGTAAGTAAATATTGAAACATAAAATGAGATCCCAAACAGACATTGGGCACACCTCTCTTTTATTTCTTCTTGCTTCTTTGAGGAATTCCATTAAGATCTGACGTTGAGCAGCTTGTGATTCCTATGGGAATAAACAGACAGAGTTAATGGTCGATCAAGGTATGACTACAAAGCCCATATCCACTTAACAGGATTAATTTCATTTAAAGTTATGAATAAACAAAAGAAAGTGTATATTTGACCTGCAGATATTTTTTGGGGGGTTCAAGTTTCAACTTTATTTGTCCCAGAGGGCAATTGGTTTTGCAGCAGCAAGGAGTGCATGAGGAGAAATACCTTGCTGCTGGTCGCTGTACAAGCATGCACACCTGGGTTCGATAAGGGGTTATGTTATGGTTAACCTCAGTGAGGTTATGGTAAGGGTTAGGGAAAGGCATAAAAGTTAACATTGGGTGAGTGTAGCCTCCTGTAGCTCAGTTGGTAGAGCATGGCGCTTGCCAGTATGAAAAATGTATGCACTCACTAACTGTAAGTCGCTCTGGATAAGAGCGTCTGCTAAATGACTAAAATGTCAAATGTGTACCGCCGTCTGCCCGCCATTAATTTCCTGCTGGTTAAATATACACTGCTTAAACAAAATATACATACTGCTTCCAGCTGTTTCTTTTTCTGTACAAGGAGTTCCAGCATCAAGTTGACATTAGCAAGATCTAGGTTCTCTTGGTCTGTGCCCAGGACGTCTTGGAACACTTGCCATCTTGACCCATTCTAAAAACAAGATAAATATACAATTAGGTAGGCACTTCTGGTAGATTGGGTTAACTGTTGGGTTCCTTCACTATTAGACCACCTCATACACACCAACAACAATTGCTAGGGTAAAGTTTTAAGGGCGGTTTCCTGGACACAGACTAAGCAGAGTCCTGGACTAAGAAGCTTTTTCAATGAAGATTCTCCATTGAGGTTGCTTTTAAATTGAAGACCAGGCTTAATCTGTGTCTGGGGAAACTGGCCCATAATGTTGTTGTCTGCATTTTGTTGTAATATTTCACCCAGGTCTGGTTTCTTGTGCAAGTGTGTGTATGAGACCTGATTCGCTGAAGCACTTACCGGATGGTCCATCTTCAGCCGTTTTTCATCTGATCTCTGTTTTTGTTTGAGAATAAGTTCATTGACTGTAATCAAAACAAGAGCTAGCATTACCATTGAGGAGGAGTGATGTATTGGAAAGGTTCAAAGATTACTTTTGACCAGGGCTCATACAACAGTTGTGCACTAAATATGGAATATGTTGCCATTTGGGACAAAGCCTGTGACAAGGCTGTAGGGAAGCTTGCTATACCACAGATAATTAATGCAGCCACCTACATATCTAGGAAATTGTTTTGAAACCTCATCTATATCAAGAGACACAAACCTACCAAGAAAGTTTGGATAGAGCTGATCCACGTTGTCAATGATGTAGTTACATTTTGGGCACCTATTGCTGTCCTCCAAACTCTGCCGAATGCACTTGTAGCTGAACCCAGAAATAGAATGCGGTATGTTAGTTCAAGAAAACCAGCATAGTGAAAAATGAATGGTGCATTGGTGGAGGATACCAAAGGAACTAGTTAATATTGATGAATTGTACTAAAAGCTATAGAAATTAAATGGATGTACTGTAGCCTATCGAATGTCATCAAGTTTGCTTACCAGAAACTATGTCCACATTTTGTCATGTGTGCCTCCTCAATCATTTCAAAACAGATTGGGCTGAAAAGAAAATGCAATGCAACATCTGGTTATTAATTAGGAATATTAACCTTACTTTGACAGTGTTCAACTATTGAAGTGAGAATAAATAAGTGAGAATAATCAATGAGTCTGTTTTAATGATATGCATCTGAGCTTTTGTAGCTACCAGGCTAGCTAGCTGCCAAACGGACATTGTAAACAAGAATGCACTCAAATTGAGCTAGCTAGCTAGCTAGATATAATGACCAACCAAGTCAGCAAGCTAGTTAGCTAGCTAAATAAGTTAGCCAAGTAGCTAGCAAGCTAGCTGGCATTTTGCAGGAAAACTCACCACACAAAATCGTTGCTTTTATCTTCGTAGGAATTCAAGAGACCATTGTAGAGAGGTGCTTGGTGGAGAGGACGTTTTCTGCTGGTGCCAGAAGAGGATGAACTGGGTCTGCTTAGAGTGGCTAAGCTTCTTGGAGACTGGACAACCGCTGCAGGTACGAGCAATCCCTCGCCAGTTGTAGCCAGAGTCCGTGAGGGCACAACATTTGAAGAATTGTTCACATTCGCACTAACGTTACCGCCTACGCTGGTGGAACCGTTAGCATTGGTAGTGCCACCGGTACTGCTGCTACTTGTCCCAGGCCCTGCTCCACCGCCAGTTTGCTGTTGACGGTTGCTTGACATAATTCAAGCCCGATGCTCAACTCTTCCAAGGCCAAAGGCTTGTTGTAGTTCAATGCATCCGGGCTCAGCTATTTAGCTAGTTAGCTAATGTTAGCTTGCTAACTAATGTGTGCTAGCGAGCTAAGATAAAATAACAATGTACGAATACACACAAGCTCGCTGTTACCTAACTTCTTTAGGTGAAATTGTACGATATTGTCAACAAGTCGATCATAACAAAGTTGCAAGAATTATACAATCTTCACCGCTGTCTGTCTACGTTTAGGGAATTAGAAACCATATATTCAATCTCCTCGGTTACACAGATGTCTGACACCAAACGAACCTACATTCCTGGCAAAGATGAATTACTGCCCCCTACTACGCAGGAGTAGTACGTTATAGCAACAAAGGTGCACCCTGCCTGCACTGAATGAATGCACCCACACCAGTAAAATAGGAGATGAAACAAAATGTAGAAAATCATTTATATCAGGTGTTGTACTTACATCTAGGATAGTATTGTGTTTTTGTAAAGTATGTTATTTACTTTTTATTATTTGATATACATACACTACCGTTCAAAAGTTTGGGGTGCACTTAGACATTTCATTGTTTTCGAAAGAAAAGACATTTTCTTGTCCATTAAAATAACATAAAATTGATCAGAAATACAGTGTAGACATTGTTAATATTGTAAATGGCTATTGTATAGATTGTTTATGGAATATCTACATAGGCGTACAGAGGCCCATTATCAGCAACCATCAGTCCTGTGTTCCAATGGCACGTTGTGTTTATCATTTATCATTTTAAAAGGCGAATTGATCATTAGAAAAACCTTTTGCAATTATGTTAGCACAGCTAAAAACTGTTGTGCTGATTAAAGAAGCAATAAAACTGGCCTTCTTGAGACTTGTTGAGTATCTGGAGCATCAGCAATTGTGGGTTCGATTACAGGCTCAACATGGCCAGAAACAAATAACTTTCTTCTGAGAACCTTGACGACCTTGTACCTAGCCAGTGGGGATTCCGGTGGGGTACCCCCACCCAGGTAGTGGCAGTGCTGGCAACACTGGCTGCAGTAACCCATGGGGAGGGGGTTACACTCTGACAATCAGAGAGGGGGAATATTATTGTGGCCCTGGTGGCACAAAATAATCAAAGGTCTGACTGCACAGAGATGCTTGGGGAAAATGGTTACAACAGGGGACCAGAGTGTTTGTGTCTCAGGGGAAGAGGGTGGATCTGATCTCAATCACCTAGGACTTGACATAGATTAATCAAATCTCACATTGTTGTCCATTTTTGTTCAATCTTGCATGCTTTCTCAAACAGCTGTAACTGTATATGCATTCGTAAATCAGGTCCTTTCTTGAGTTGGGCTTTGGGATGTAACAACCGTTGAGCATCTGCTTATGGTGGCGTACTGCATTAGCATCAAATAGCCCCCGCGATATGCAACTTTTCAGGGAAGTTAGGAACCAATATACACAAGCAGTTAGGAAAGCAAAGGCTAACTTTTTCAAACAGAAATTTGCATCCTGTAGCACTAACTCCAAAAAGTTTTGGGACACTGTAAAGTCCATGGAAAATAAGAGCACTTCCTCCCAGCTGCCCACTGCACTGAGGCTAGGAAACACTATCACCACCGATAAATCTACAATAATCGAGAATTTCAACAAGCATTTTGCTACGGCTGGCCATGCTTTCCACCTGGCTACCACTACCCCGGCCACCAGCTCTGCACCCTCCGCTGCAACTTGCCCATGCCCCCCCCGCTTCTCCTTCACACAAATCCAGACAGCTGATGTTCTAAAAGAGCTGCAAAATCTGGACCCCTACAAATCATCTGGGCTAGACAATCTGGACCCTTTCTTTCTAAAACTAGCCGCCGAAATTGTCAACAAACAGATCAACAAACAGATCACCGACCATTTCGAATCCCACCGTACCTTCTCCGCTATGCAATCCGGTTTCCGAGCTGGTCATGGGTGCACTTCAGCCACGCTCAAGGTCCTAAACGATATTATAACCGCGATCGATAATAGACAGTACTGTGCAGCCGTTTTCATTGACCTGGCCAAGGCTTTCGACTCTGTCAACCACCGCATTCTTATTGGCAGACTAAATAGCCTTGGTTTCTCAAATGACTGCCTCGCCTGGTTCACCAACTACTTCTCAGATAGAGTTCAATGTGTCAAATCGGAGGGCCTGTTGTCTGGACCTATGGCAGTCTCTATGGGGGTGCCACAGGGTTCAATTCTTGGGCCGACTCTTTTCTCTGTGTATATCAATGACGTCGCTCTTGCTGCTGGTGACTCTCAGATCCACCTCTACGCAGACGACACCATTTTGTATACATCTGGCCCTTCATTGGACACTGTGTTAACAAACCTCCAAACGAGCTTCAATTCCATACAACACTCCTTCAGTAGCCTCCAACTGCTCTTAAACACTAGTAAAACTAAATGCATGCTCTTCAACCGAACGCTGCTTGCACCCGCCCACCCGACTAGAATCACTACTCTCGACGGGTCTGACCTAGAGTATGTGGACAACTACAAATATCTAGGTGTCTGGTTAGACTGTAAACTCTCCTTCCAGACTCACATTAAGAATCTCCAATCCAAAGTTAAATCTAGAATCGGTTTCCTATTTCGCAACAAAGCCTCCTTCACTCATGCTGCCAAACATGCCCTCGTAAAACTGACTATCCTACCGATCCTTGACTTCGGCGATGTCATTTACAAAATAGCCTCCAACACTCTACTCAGCAAATTGGATGTAGTCTATCACAGTGCCATCCGTTTTGTCTCCAAAGCCCCATATAATACCCACCACTGTGACCTGTACGCTCTTGTTGGCTGGTCCTCACTACATATTCGTCGCCAAACCCACTGGCTCCAGGCCATCTATAAATCACTGCTAGGCAAATCCCCGCCTTATCTTAGCTCATTGGTCACCATAGCAACACCCACCCGTAGTCTGCGCTCCAGCGGGTATATCTCACTGGTCATCCCCAAAGCCAACACCTCCTTTGGCCGCAATTCCTTCCAGTTCTCTGCTGCCAATGACTGGAACAAATTGCAAAAATCTCTGAAGCTGGAGACACTTATCTCCCTCACTAACTTTAAGCATCAGTTGTCAGAGCACCTTACCGATCACTGCACCTGTACACAGCCCATCTGAAATTAGCCCGCCCAACTACCTCATCCCTATAATGTTATTTATTTTGCTCATTTGTACCCCAGTATCTCTATTTGCACATCATCTCTTGCACATCTATCATTCCAGTGTTAATACTAATTGTAATTATTTTGCACTATAGCCTATTTTATTGCCTTACCTCCATAACTTGCTAAATTTGCACACACTGTATATATATGTATTTCTGTTGTATTTTTGACTTTGTTTTGTTTTACCCCATATGTAACTCTGTGTTGTTGTTTTTATCGCACTGCTTTGCTTTATCTTGGCCAGGTCGCAGTTGTAAATGAGAACTTGTTCTCAACTGGTTTACCTGGTTAAATAAAGGTGAAATAAAAAAAAAAAAAAAAAAAAAAATGGTCTTGCATACGCCGAGTGAACTGTTTTTTTAATTATATGAGAAAAAAATATTCAATTTTATTTGGAACGGCAAGCCAGACAAAATTAAACGGGCCTATTTATATAATGAATATGAATTCGGAGGACAGAAATTATTAAATATTAAAGCATTAGACCTATCACTAAAAGCTTCAGTCATACAAAAGTTATACTTAAATCCGAAATGGTTCTCTAGCAAATTAGTAAGATTGTCTCAACAAATGTTCAAGAATGGCCTTTTTCCCTTTATTCAGATTACAACCACTCACTTTCAGTTATTTGAAAAGGAAATAATCTCCCAAATATCACTATATCTAAAACAAGCCATAGAAAGTTGGTTGCAATTTCAATATAATCCTCCAGAAACAACAGATCAAATAATGCAACAAATATTGTGGTTAAACTCAAATATACTAATTAAAAAAACCTTATTTTTTTGACAAAATGTTTATAAAAGGTATAACCTTCGTAAATTATATCATCAGTAGGACTGGTGGAGTTATGTCGCACATGCAGCTAACAAAAACATATGGAAATGTCTGCTCTACCCAAAATTACAACCAAATAATTGCAGCCTTACCGCAAAAATGGAAGAGGAAAGTGGAAGGGGGAGAAAGTAAGGAACTTGTCTGTCGGCCTTGCATTAAAGAACATAAATGGTTAAGGAAAACAGTGATAAATAAAAAAGTATATCAGTTTCATTTAAGGACCAAAGGATTGACAGCTGTCCCATATAGATTGCAAAATAGTTGGGAAGAGATTTTTGACGTACCGATCCCATGGCATAGTGTTTATGAACTGATACGCAAAACGACACCGGATTCAAAACTTAGAATCTTTCAATTTAAATTATTATGTAAAATTCTTGCTACCAATATAATGTTATTTATATGGGGGATACAATCTTCCCAGCTCTGCAGATTTTGCTGCGAAGAGACAGAATCATTAGATAATTTGTTTTGGTACTGTCCATTTGTAGCTTGTTTTTGGACACAGGTCCAGGAATGGCTAAAGGATTGCAATATTTACCTGGAGCTAACCTTGCAGATAGCACTACTGGGTGATCTGAAAAGTCATAGTCAATCGATCAATAATATAATAATACTTTTAGCAAAAATGTTTATTTTTAATTCACAATCTGTAGAAACAATGAGAATAGAAAGGTTCAGATCTTTTGTAAGACATCACAGTACAGTTGAAATATATATAGCAAATAGAAATCCTATATGGATGGTGTTAAGAGATAGATGGGAGGTGTTGAATGGAATTGAAGGATGGGACTAATAACAACTAACAACAAATAATAACAAGATAACTAATAATGTAAGCATACTTTGTCCATAATAAGTATATAGGTTGTAGGTTGGGAGCTTTTGTGAAAGAGCACAGTTAGAAAGATATGGCATATAGAAGCAAACCGGATGGACATCATG